CAAGGGGCACGAGGGATGGAGTCATGTCTTCTTCCCCTTGGGGACAGAGAGCCAGGTCTGAGCCTCACCTGCACCCTGGCGAGGACCAACGAGTGCACGAGACACCGTGACAGTGAAACCAAGGAGAGGAGGGAGGACGTTAGTTGTGCCCGAGAGAAGCCATGCCTGCAGCCCGCGCCCCCTAAACTTTGCGTGCGCAGTCATTCTGCATCTGTTCTTTTGCTTTAAGGAATCTTGTGCTGCTTGGCTTTGTTTTTTCTCTCCTTTTTTGGAAGGGGGAGTCCTTCAGGAAGAGTAAAGATATACTTGGCCAAACACGTATCATACCCCCGCCCCGCCTCGCCCTGTCAGATGAGAGAACCATAGGCCCCGTATCCAGAGAGTGGCAATTATGCAGACAGGAAAGTTACATCTTGAGCCGAGGCTTCTGTAAGTGAAGTCAGTGAAGTGACAGCGTCTCTTTTTAAACTAGAGAGCGGTTGGCTTTGCCTGGTGTTTGGGAAAGGGTCCACTCACCACAGTGAGCAGCTCGGTGAAGAATGCGCGTGTCATGGTCCACCTGGGGCTGACAAGGCTAAAGATGGCAAAGATACGTGCTTAATGGGAGCTCTCCAGAGGAACACAAGCAGGGGCGGTTGAAGGTACCTCTATGTAGAAAGTTATAGTGTAAAACATGAAAATAAAACTGATTTATAAATTATCAAGGGTTCACGAGGGTGGAAGGGTGGAGGGAGGGGGGAAAAGAGGAGCTGATACCAAGGGCTCAAGTATAGAAAGTAAATGTTTTGGAAATGATGATGGCAACATATGTACAAATGTGCTTGAAGCAGTGGATGTATGGATTGTTATAAGAGCTGTAAAAGCCCCAATAAAATGATTAATTAAAATTTTTAAAAAGAACTTAAAGAAAGAAAGAAAGAGAAACAAAGAGACCAAGCAATTGTGAGGGAATGGGCCACAGGCTGGAGGCCCATGTTGGACACCTTGCTGGCTCCTGTGCTTCCTGGGATGACAAAGCCAGGACCTGCAGGCTGGACAGCAGGCTGGAGGCTTCAGCTGGTTCACAAAGTTGTGGGGCGTGGAGAGTCCGGAAGGCGACGGCCAGAGAGCAGACCTGAGACTTCTGCAGGCCTCTCACCCACTGCCATCAGGCTCGTTCCAAAGCACAGTGACCCTCCAGGACAGGATAGGACTGCTCTGGGTTTCCCAGACGGCAACTCCTTCTGGGAGTCGGCAGCCTCATTTTTCTCCTTTGGAACCCTTGGTGGTTTTGAACTGCTGACCTTGCAGAGAGCAGCTCAACGTGCAACCCACCACACCACCACCAGGCTCTTGGCCTCCAAACGCGAGGCCAGACACAAGATAAGTGTGCGTCAGCTAAGAAAGAGCAGCCTGCGTATCGGTTCCTTGAGGCCACACCGCAGAGAAATTCCTCTCTCCACTCATCTCAGGTCTCAAAATGGAAGGTGTCCCCCAAGCCACTGCGGGTCAGAGTCTACGAGTCGACACCTAACATTAATCATCACAGGTACATTGGGACAGGAGGGAGGGAAACACCCAAACAAAGGAGCTATTGGCTCAACCCATTTGGGGGCTCTTTTCCCCCTACTACCTGTCACCAGTACACTCTTTCAAAGACAGAGTGTCTGATCACGTGTCTTGGCAGTTGAGAAATCCATCACAAAGCAGGAGAAAGAGTCACCACCAGGCGGAAAGTTGTCAAACGTCCCCTCAGGCACATGATCAAGGGCACACCACCATGCATCATGTTGACAGCAGGTGCCCCGAAAGGAGAGAGAAGGGCACCTCTCCTGCGCATTCCTCCTCCCGCGGCGCCGGGCCCCAGCCCGTCCTGGGAAGCACAGTGGACCGATCCCGCTAGCACGCGGACTCGACTTGACCAGTATTTCAGAACACGCCAGGGACTCCCCCAGACAAGGGGGGTCTAAGAAACGGTCAGGGAGAGTGGAGCTTCAGAGGACAGGAGGACTCCATGCAGTGAGGTTTTCTGTAACAGCGCCGAAGGGACTGCGGGGTGGGGGGGTGGGGGTGGAGGGAAACAGCAAAACATTCACGAAGGTTCTCTAACCTTGTCAAAGGCACCAGACTGATGTAAGGAAAAGATGTATGTGTTTGGGGGGGCGTATATATGTATGTGTGTGTTGTGGGGGGTGGGCGTAACTGAAGAGGTGGTTATTCCAGCCCACCCAGCGCTCTGCGGGAGAAAAGCCCTGGCCATCGGTCCTGTAACAATCACAGCCCAGAGCACAGTGCGGGGCACTCAGACTCTGCCACTATGGGGCCACTGTGACTCAGATCTGACTGCTCTGCGCCGGGGCGGCTACAGGTCAGAGCAGTCGGATGGCAGCTGGCAATGGCACCAACTTGGGTTCTGGTGCCGCCTGCTCAACTTTCCTGAACATCTCAAACTGGTCTCCAAATAGGTTTGTTAACGGTTTATTCCCAAAGGGAGTCCCCCCGGGCTTCTGTTGCTGGGGAAGGTTTCTGAAAAGCCCGTTTCCCAGCCCAGCCTGAAACAACCCTGAGCCCCGCCCGCGTGGACTCTTCCCTCCTGGCCGGCTCCTCAGTCTCCTTGACAGTAACCGGCAGAAAGACAGGCACTGCTTACCTGCAGAAAGGTTCAGCGTTGCTCTCCCAATTCGAGGTGACTCTCCTTGTTCGCACTTTGGGAGCCACAGACTTTTACGCTTAGGGCAAACAATTCAACCTTCTCTTGTAGGGTACCTGCATTTTTGTCCTGATGTATTTCCGCAAGACAGAGGCCACTTAATAGTGGTTTGACCAAGGAGCCCTGCGGGCCCCCATCAGGAAAGCGGGATTCAAATGACTCAAGTTGGGAACTGATGACCACGAGCACTCTGTCTGCCTCCCTCAGCTGGCACTGAAGGCCCCTTTCCAACATGGGGACACCTGTCTAGGCCCCCGTCACTGGATTCTCGACTGCCGAAGAGAACTGACAGGCCATCACAGATGGAGAGTGGAAGCTTAGAAGAAGCAAGAGCTCCATTCAGACAGCAGGTTCCGGCCAGCACACCAGCTTTGCTTAGGCTTCCTTTCCCATCCGGTTTCATTTCTTCGAGGGCCCACACGTGACGTCATGGGGCAAGCCCGTGTCCTCAGAACACCTGTCAATGGAAGTCCCTGGATGGTACGAATGGTTAACCTGTCCCACTGCTACCTGATAGGCTGAGCGGGTTGGAGCCACTCTGAGGTACTTTGAAAGCAAAGCCTGGGGTTCTGCTTATGGTAAATCCATCCCTAAGACCCCGGAGGAGCCCAGTTCTACTTTGACACACGAGGTCACCATGCACCGCGGCTGGTTGAACAGGTGGCTCTGATGACAATTCCTTTGGGACTCATAACCTCCCAGGCCATGCCAGAGACCACATGTGCAACATGACAGCTCTACTGGGGCATGATAGGTGGGATTGGAGCCCCAGCCCCACGTGCTGCCTGCTGACTCGGAGCCCAGTGCAGGCCCCCAGCTGAAGGGCTTCCCAGCTCTGGGTGCAGAGGCTGGCTCCAGCACAGCCTGTTTGGGGGACCTGGGCAAGGCTGGGAAGGTCCTTGGTCCTCTTTCTCGTGGGATTAGAGATTACGATGAGGATGCAGGTGCTCATGTGAGCCCGGCATTTAGCACGACACTCGGCCTCTGTAAATGTGCAGTGCACCTGCTGGTGAGGCTCTGTATCCCTGGGTGTTCAGTGCAGATCCCAGCAGTACCTACCTTGGGGAGCTGTGGTTGGGAACAAACGAGTCACTGCATGCCAAGTTCTCAGCACACTGTCCAGTTCCTAGCCAACCCTGGATCGCGTGTGACTTCAGTACCTGTGTTTACTTGTCAGGAGTGCGGCTGTTGTTTGTGGAGGGAGCCCTGGGTCAAATGCTCAGCTGCTGATGGAAGGTTGGTGGTTTGAGAGGCCCCCCACTCCCTGGAGAAAGACCTGGTGATCGGTACCCATCAGGACACAGCCCAGGACACTCACTGGGCGATGTTCTCACCTGTCGCCTGGGCCAACCATGACCCAAAGGCACGCAACAAGAGCAACAGTATTGGATGGAAAATTCCAGGAATTAGAATGTTCATCCAGTTTTGGTGGTGGCCATTCACAGATTCACAGATGCTTGAAGCAGACGGGATTGACTCTTTACGACCCCAGTGCCAGGGCTCGCAACATCCAGTCTGTGTGGATATAGATAAGGCGGTCTGCTGCTCGTGTCCAGCAGTGATGGGGACCACTTTCGCTCCGAGGGCTGGTTTGTGGGTCAAGCGATAGCAATTCCATTCCCTTGGCTGGGGTACCATAAGCAGGCCTGAATGCATCTATCTTCTACACTAGAACCCCCTTCCTCCCCTCTGGAAACCATCCCTCTGACATCCAGCAAAGCTATCAACCACGTGGGCTCACCTACCCAATATCCTTGAAAAAAGGGACTGGACTCATGATCCCCCAAAGGACTTTCTTTAGAGGCTTTCTTTAGAGGATTCCTGTGGATCTCCAGGGAGTTTCTCCTCTCAAAATCCAGGGCGGCTCTGAGCTGGGAGCCATCTTTGCCACCTAGTGGAGAGAGCTTAGCAGACCCTGCAGCCAATGCTGTGGGAAGTACAGAGAAACAAGGATTGGGCACATCTGCAGGCATGGAGTGGGGGGAAGAGGAAGAAAAGGAATTGGAGTGAAAAGGCAACGAGGGAGAGAGGGAAAGGAGATGGAATAGGAGGGAGGGGCTGAGGGTCAGCGTAAAGCAAGAGAGTTAGGGAATGAGAGAAGGGGGGAGAGCAATGGCTTCTATGAATTCGTCCAATCACAACACAGGAGGGATTTGTGCCATGGTTTCTCTAGGTAAGCAAGCTTATAAACAACCTGCTTTTCTCCAAGTCAACAGGGCTCTGAGTAGATTTTCAAACTGGGATCCACGCCCCCGAGAGAGGTGAGAAACCACCACACCTGAGGAATTTATTAAGCATGGAATGAGCTCACTTCAGAAAGGAACAAAGTTTATTTGATGGATATAAATAAGGCAGTCAGCACAAAGAACTTCTCACACACACGGTAACACGTGTATGAACCATACATGTCGTGTACCTTGTATTCTACTGGACACAGGCTACGGTGACGGGAGAATACATGCCCACTGGGAGTTTCCAAAGAGTTCCTTAGGTTTGTTATGTATGTATTTATTTATTTTCATATCAATGTCCATAATCACATGGTCAATATCACAACCCACATGCCACTCACTTGAAGAAATACTACAAGAAGCACTATCAAACGAGGGTCTGGGGGGAACTAGATACACGACCCCTGGCAGCATTCAAACGCCACTCTACACGGAAACATCGCAGCGAGAGCTTGGGTCAGCCCGGGAGGTCTCGTCATACACACGGTTGACAAAGTAAATGGAGACCCACTTTCAAAGTTGCTTGCGGCGAATGGGCATACCGGATACACAGAAATCGTTAGGTACAAAATTGAGACTGTCCATCGAGATTAAACGGGGTGTACACAAGAGCCTGCTTCTGCTCAAAGCAGACTGACGCCTCCCACGGGCGTCAGTCTCCCCGGTTTGCACTGATTGATTCTTAACTTCCTCACGAGGGGGACCTGCTCGCGGTTCATCACAGTGTTTGTTGTAAACCCAGAGACGATTCTGAACATATGAAAAGGGTTCTTAATTTTTATTTTGCGGTAACCCCCAAACACTGGAGAATATGACACAGCATGGGGGAAAGATGCTATGTAAGAGACGGAAGCTTGATTTACTGGGGCCTAAACAATATGACCTCATGAAAGTCAGATTAGCAATACTTTGAACGAACCTAAGCGGGGTCCAAAAAATAATCCCTAAAGCAAGACCTGTGACAAAATTGGCACATATGTAGAAATAGCTCCCTATTCGTGGGCTTCTGTTGTGTGTTGCTTGCTTGCTTTTTTTTTTTCTTCTTTTCTGTGTGGAGGGGCTATCTGTGTTCCCTTTTGGATTTCCTCCTTCAAGTATTCAGCTGCCAAGTTCAGGTCAAGCCCTGGCTTGGGGAGACAGGGAGGCCCGCCTGCTGGCACACCCTGGACGCTGCATGGGGGTGCCTGTGGGACTGGGTTCTCCACGCAGCGTTGTGTTGAGAGAAAGGTGGAAAATACATTTGTGAAGAACGCCGCTGCCTGCTTCCCCAGCCAAAGCCTCCGCCCCATTGACAGCTGAAGGACAACATTTTCGACGTGAATGCGTTGGGACTGTTGACGCGACATAAGCTTTGACACGGCTTTCTATACTCGCTGACGACAAGAACAAAGCTAGAAGCAAGGGACCTCCTTGAATACAGGACTCCCCACCCGCCAAGAAGGGACAGTGCAGGTCAGACACGATGTCTTCTTCCTCCGGCAGCAAGGCGTCTGTCCCGGGAACATCTCTATGGCTCATGAGAGAGGTCCAGAGTTAATTGCACCAACATTTTCAGTTGTTTTTTTTTTTTAAGTAATAACAATGACTAAATCCAACTGCCAAAGACTTTAGGGTTATCTGTTTAGAATCCTTCTCACAGCAGCAAAGAAAGACAAACTAGATTGATTAAGGCCACTCATGCTTAAATTCACTGTTTGTCCTTTAGAAATGCAGATTTTTTTACTTCCCACTTGCGTACGCGTGGAAGGGTTTCTTCCACTGACAAGAAAATGGATCGATTTGAGAGCTGCACACATCGGCCACACTTCGTGAGTTTCATGAAGTTACAACAACTTGTTGTTGTTGTTGTGAATTTTCAGAGGAAACAGCAGGAGTTGGCTCCTCCCCAGGGCCGCATCACTGCATGCTAAAGAGCTCAGAATGGCAGTCTCTGTCCCTGGCGTGAGCTTAAAGGCCTCTGCACCCAGATGGTGCGCAGAGGCCCATACAGACACACAGCTTTTGTGATTGCTCCTCATTCATCAATGATTGCATGTTGGATGCTGACAATGCTTTGGAATCCATGTTGCAGACATGTATTATTTTTTTAGAAAAAGAACAAGAGAAAGTACCGTTTGTTTACAGAAAGACCTCAGCTGCACTGTTTGCACAGCACTTGGACCTTGAAATGTGAATGAGTCCCAGCTTCCTCACGGAGACCTGCACCGATGGGAATGGAAAGAGCCTGAGGCGGCCAGTCCGGCCGTAGCGGTGTCGGCGGACGGGCCTCGGGCTTTTGCCACTCCTCAGTACATGGTCAGGGGAGATAAAATTTATGGATGACCCACTGAGATGCGCCATGTATTGTCAGAGACACACACCATGTTCTTATAAGGCGATTTCTTGGCAAGTAGTAGTGGTTTAAAAAATTGATTTCACTTCCAACCTGGCCCAGAGGGAACCACCGATTACACCATCAAAACGCGGTTCTTGGAACAGCAAGTTAAAGAAACAGAGGAGGGTATAGGCTCAGTCTCTGTTGTTTTCCTTTCTAGTCCAGCACGCCCTGCACATTGGTGCCCTGGACCGCCCGCGCTACCCACACACAGCAAACCGGTACTGTCTTAGAGGCCAGTGCTTTAGGGATAATGACCCCCACTGACCAGCCCAGCACAGTCCCTGGCGAGGACGCTGCTGTCCCACAGAAGCTGAGCCTGCAGTTTATATTCCATGGGGCTCAACCTATCCAACGGTATGTGGGTACTCAGACAGAACGGCGGCCCCTGACCACACTTGGAGGGAAGATGCCCACAGGCCGACGGAAAGGGCAGCATCTGTCCTGATTCTCCAGCACTGTGTCCTTCCTGCCCGGCATGTTGGACAGACTCCGTGAGAGGCGCCAGCAATGAGGACGATGCCGGAGCTGCCAAGTGAGGGCGGACCTGCGGACACGCTCCGGGTGCTGGGTGGGGGCAGTGATGGGAGCCGGCCTGTGATCGATGATCGGAAGATTGTGCGCGCTCCTCAGTCAGCCCTTCTGACGCTGCAACAAGAAAGCACATCGTTTACTTAGATGCGTCGGCTCTTCTAACAATCCACACGTCACTTGTATCGATCACATTTGTGCACATGCTGCCATCATCATTTCCAAAGCATTCGGTACCCCCTCCTCTGTGTTCCCTCCCTCCTACCCCACCCTCGTGACCCCTTGATAAATTACAAGCTATTGTTATTTTCATATCTCACACCTTCACCCAGGTTGTTCGTAGGGAGGGGGACAGGCTATATGTTGATCATTGCCACCACTTCCCCCTTCTCCCTCACGAAAGCGCATCGCTTAGCAGGAAAGCAGCTGGTGCAGTGCACACGACACCTAAGCCAAGCCACCGGACGGACGGACAGACGACCCACAATGCGCTGTGCTCAGTGGGCACGGGGTGCATCCGTGTGAGCAGCGGGCAGGAAGCCCGGCGGGGTGCGGTGTCCTGCAGAATGCACCACTAGTGTGCAGAGCGCGCGTGCCCCCCAACCCCGCCTCCGGTGACGCACAGCCATTCGGGGCTCATCAGACCCCCGTCGTACCCCAATACCCGCTCCCTCTTCCACGTCCCACCCCCGATGCCTCCCCATTGGAGTTTCTAGTCACGGGGTTTTGAAGATCACTTTTCAGCTTGGCTTTCCAGAGACTGCATCTCTCTTACACAAATTGCCAAAGGACACGGAATCTCGCATTAAAATCTTTCATCGAGAGTTAATGACAGAGCTGACAGAGGACGATGGTCAAGGGCACGCAGCAGGCACTGAAACACCACAAGAGCGGCCGTTGGAACGCAGGCCAGTTTCTGCTTCAGCTGTGTGAACTGCAGCACGGTCGCTCGCAAAGAAACGCGGCCTACACTCCGGGCTCCGAGGGGCCGATGTGTCCCTGTGTGGTTGTGCAGACAAACCCGGGACAGGGGGAGAGGCCCCTTGCCGTTCTTCTGTGTGTCTGTGTCAATACCGCTCTCGTGGGGCCTCTCCGGGCTCGGGAGTTTCCGGCACGTGGCTTATCCAAGTTCTGGGGGTTTCCTGCATGCACCCTCTCCAGACTTTGGGAGTTTCTGGCACGTGGCCTATCCAGGCTTCGGGAGTTTCCGGTGCGTGGCCTCTGTGCTCTGGAGTTTCCGGCTCCTGGCAATCACGCAGGTTGAGCAAGCACATGCGCACACGCGCATCCACCCTTAGTGATCCGGCTAGGTGGTGGGGCTGCATCTTTTCGGAGAGCTCCAGGACCCCGTGTGTGCACAGGTGGGTTGGTTAGGTCAAGCCCTCGACAGTGGCCTGGGTGAACGCTGCCAATTCCTACCCTGAGGAGTTCGAGTTCGGTGCAGCCTTCAAGGGGAACTTGGTTGGGGGCAGGGGGGATGACTTTTGCAGAGCCCGCGGGCTTGCGCAGATCAGGTTACCCGTCTGGCACATAAAACCTCTGCAAGCGCAGCATGAAAACCGTGAGGCGGAGCCCGCTCTCTGCTGGGGCGCCAGGCATAGCTCTCAGTCTTTTGTGTATCGAGTTTTTCTTCACCATCCTTCCCTAGGGCTGGCTAATGATTTGAAAGGCCCGTGATCAGACAAGTCCAAAGACACCCGAAGTTGCATTGAAATGCGCCGGCCATTTCTGCAGATGGGGAAGCGAGTGACCGAGGACTGCCGGGAAGGCCCCCAACCAACGTTCCCTTGGGGATCAAGTCGTGAAGGACAATTGTGTCTTGTGCGGTGAGAAGACCCCCACCCCCCACCAGCTGGGTAAAAGCTCACCAGGCAGTCTCTGCCACACACCTTGGAACTTTCCAGAAAGGTGGGCTCCCTTTGCATGGACTGATTCCTTTCCCAGGAGGCTCCAGTGGAATGGAGGAACAGAAAAAAACAACGCACACTTCAAGTGACACATCGCCAGGCGTTAGAAGTGCAGACGACCCCTTGTCCAGTAGCTAATAAGCACTAGTTTAAAAACAAGACAAAGGGACACCAGCAACCTGAGGTGCTATCGTCTCTGGTCACTGACCCTGCCTTCCCGAGAGTCACCCATCCCGGACCTGGTCACTGCTGGTCCTCTCTTGCTGACTTAGTAGCTCCTGACTACAGGTCACTACTGAGCACTTGAAATGTGGCGGGTCCACACAGGTGTTAGCCAGGGGCGAAATACACGCTGACTTTTGAAGATTTAGTACAGAATTATTTGAGATAGGCTGTAAACTATCTCAGGAATAATGGTTATATCGATTTCATGGTGAAATGATGTTTTTTAACATATTGGATCAAATAGAATCTATCACTATAATTAATATAATCCATTTATTATACTTCTACATGGCTAGGAAAAATGCAAAATTACAGATATGGTTGGCTTCTTATTAAGGATTAAAGTCTCAAAAACTGAAAGGGATTCTGTAGGGTCCCTGTGATTTGGAGTTGATTGGATAGAAGTGAGTTTTTGTTGTTATTTATTTCACATTTCTATTAGACAGGCCTGGGTCTAGACTATTAGACAGGCCTGAGTCTAGACTATTAGACAGGCCTGAGTCTAGACTATAAGACAGGCCTGGGTCTACACTATATGCTATTTGCGGACAGAGAACAGGCAGTCTTGCCAATTTAGCATTCTCGGTCCCTTACCTGGAAAGACTGATTCAATCAACCATTCCACAAATATGACAGAGTACCTAGGACAGGCTGAATTCTAAAATCACACCCAGGAATTCCTGGGACAACATCATGCCCATGATTCTATAGCATGACCTGGCAAAGAAAGGGATTTGGGTCCAGCTATCTTTCAGGGAGATTACCTCAACGGTCTAATTTAATCACAGGAGCTCTTTAAAAGCAGAGTGGCTTCTCCTCAGGGAACACAAGGCATGAGCGGGAGTCACTGGGCTGGGTGGAGTGGGCAACAGGACAGGGACCTGAGTGCATCTCCTAGGGCCCGAGAGACACCCACCCACGGCTGACAGCCAGGAAGGAAAGAGGAACCTTGGTCTCACAGTGGCCAGGATTAGACTTCTGTCAGCCTCCTGGATGGGCTTCTGAGACCTTGTACAGAGCTATGAAATAATAAGAGGGGGTTGCTCTAAGTCACTCCCTTTGTGGTCATTTGTAAAGCAGGAAGAGGAACAAAAATAGTTCCTCTCTGTGCCAGGCAGTGTCCTTGGGGTCAGGGATACGATGGTGCAGAAGACGTCCAGGTGCATGCCCTCGTGGGGTTTGTATTCTCAGGAGGAAGACAGACAACGGAAAGATTACACAAGTCCGCCAATGTGCGAGGGCACTTGGATCTGCACCATGACGATGCACGCTGTACTCTGCAGCTGCTCACGGTTTATGGAGTGAATGCATGACGATGAACACACAGATCTCAATTTTGGGATGTGGCAAGATGACCACTGATATTTTGATGAACAAAGCAAAGATCATTCTGTGTGTGTGTATTTTGATAGCATTTTTGCCCCCACATGCACATAAACATTTACACATGCATCCGAATTTGTCAGTACTGTGTTTTTAAATTTTCCTTCTTTAGAACTTGTTTTGGATTGACCAGATTTCCTAAACCAAAGACTATAGACTATACGGTGCACAGCATAATCCTCCACCTCTTATCTGCTGGTTTGTGGCACTGCAGGAGCCTGTGTTACTATGACAATGAGAGCTATGGCAACGGTATTTCAAATACCAGCAGGGCCAACCATGGTGAACGGGGTTCAGCAGTGCTCTCAGACAAAGACAGGCTAGGAAGAAAGGTCTGGCGAAGCCTTATGAGGATCAGCCACTGAAAACCCCACGGTGCACATCGGAACCTTGTCCGCGCAGTGCGGGCCTGGAAGGCACTCAGGTGGACGGTGTCTACTACCGTGGCCCCGGCCTCGGATGAGATGGCGAAAACGGTGGAGAAGCGGGCACCTTTCGTAGCTGAGTTGTTGGAGCTGGCCTGAGGGCTGCGGAGGACCAGAAGCAGGACACGAAGATAGCACACTCTCTCTGCTTTGGGGACGCACGGGCACTGGGGCGTGGACTGATGCTGGCCATGTCTTGCTTCTGTAGGAAGCGGCTGGAGGCTCTGCAGTGTGGGAGTAGGAAGGAGGAGCAGAGCCTGGCAGTGGGCCCGGCAGCCCCAGGAGAGGCAGCTGTCCATGTGTGGAGTCTCACAGCTATTCCCGTAGATGGTTTTTCTTTGGAATAAAGACACCTGCCTGGGGACAGCTTTCTTCTCCTGCCCTTTGTGTAGTGATTTGCAGAAACGGGCTAGGGGAGAGAGAGTGAGAGAAGGGTCTTGGTAAACAAGGAGGGGGTTAAAGGGGAAACTCTTTCATCACAGTAGTAAAATGCAGGCAGTCTTTGACATCTGGGTTCATGTCCATTACAGCCCAGGTGCTTTCCAAATGTGTGCGGCATCCTCCCAGGTACAAAAGCAGACTCCCAATTCAACGACGGCTTTGGGTGCCTGCTCTACACATTGCCATGGGACCGGCAGGACAGGCGGGCCGATGGGCTGATGGACAGGGACCCACAGGGAACAGTTGGTGGTGGAGGCGGGGCAGCAGGGCGTCTCGTCTCGCACAGCAGCTCTGCGCTGGGGAAAATCCAATAGTGTCATTTCTGCCCAAAAGGGAAAAACAAGAAAACCCCAAACTGTAACTACATATGTGCTATTACTTAGCTTCTTTTAAGAGAGAGCGGAATGGGTTCCCCTTTTGACTCATGAAGATTTGTTTATTATTGCTGTGATCAAAGTGGCAATAAATTATGTTAAATTGTTTAATTTTCCTGATAGGAGCAATCACCTTGAAGCCATCAATGAAAAACACGAGTGGAGAGCAACATTTTACCTTTCTGCGAGGCTTCCGACAGCTCTGCAGGGCAACACAATGTAACAGTTCTGAGCCCAGAGCGCTGCACAGTGGGGGTGGCCAGAGCCAGGCCGGGCTCAGGGTCGCTCACTGCTATTAGAAGCCAGGCAACTGAAGGACTGTGTGTGTCACCCCTCCTCCCTGTGCTGGGAGCCGCTGGCCC